TGTCAGTAGGTGACAGCAACACCAAATTTTATGTCTCAGTTTGTTAGGTGGCACTAGATGTGGCATGTGCGGTCACGACACAGAAACAAAATGACGACTGTACTTATGGAGAGTACCATCAAAGAACAACATGATTTTTTGCATGGGGGGGAGGGGGGGGGGGGGCAAAGGGGTTGCCAGCAAAGTATAGTCATCAGGAAATGCTTCTTGTTTATGATGGCAAAAATGTATCCTGTAAAGCGAAGCATTCATCAGTCAGCAAGTTTTTTACAGACCGTCTCTCTCTTCACGGCATATATCTTTCCCTAGCCAGCTCTCCAGGCGGTAATTATTTTTTTTTTCTCAAGGGCGCTCTAAAATTGTTGATGAAGTCTGATTTCATCCTTCTTTTGAGAACAGAAGCATCCACACAGCAGTTGGAGGAGATGATTAGAGGTGACAGGTTGACTCTTAGCAGCTACAACAGTGCACACATGGTTCAGCATACAACAAAATGCACGAAGTGATGCTTCGCGATGCAATTCAAAGAAAACGCCCAGGCCTGCTAACTAGAAGAGTACTGGTGATTTCAAATGCCAGACCACATTGGGCTCAGTAAACTCAGAAGAAACATCAACCTTACAGCCCCAACTTAACCCCTAGACATTTCCACTTTTTTTGCTTCATTGAAAACCCACCTTGGCGGGAGATATTTCGCCAATGACGCAAAAGTTAAATGTGAAGTGAAAATGTGGTCTAGAAAACAGATCATGCAGTTCTAAGCAGCAGGTTACTGACATAACATTGGACAAGTGTATCAATATTAGTCGAAATTATTTTGAAAAATAAAGGGACAGTGTGTGTGTAAAAATAAATGGTTTTGAAGTTGTTATCATTCTTAGCTTTTTTTTAAACAACCATGTGTGACTTATTAACTTTTCCTCGTAAAAACAGTGAAGAGCAAAATATGTTCTTCAATTCAAAGAAAACACAAAATTTATGGCCACAAACAAAGCTGCCTGTCACCCAAAAATAACAATAAATGATGAAATTTAAAATGTCGCAAACTTTGAATATCTAGGCTCTATAATAAAAAGCACTTAAGACTGTCAAACAGTCAAAAGAAGGATAGTGACAGCAATGCAAAGATTAAGCAGTATTAACCCTTTCGCTGCTATGGACGAGATAACTCGTCTGCCCGGTAGACTGCTAAGGACGAGCTAACTTGTCTTACGTTTTCTGTGCCCTCGCTGCTAAGGACGAGCTAACTCGTCTTCGACTTTTTTTATAGATTGCTAAGAGCCGTAATTCTCGGGGGTGAAATAGCAATATACATTACCTAAATCTGATCAAACTGACACATTTACATACAATGAAAACACATATCACGTTAATTCAGGTGTAGATGCATTTCACGTTATCCTGTTGCTTTGTTACCATAGAAGCATGATCGGTGAACGGCAATTTTTTGCCCTGAAATATATTTCTGATTTTGCGTTAGTCTACTATTTTTTTTTTAAATACAAAATAACAAGAAAATTGGTTAATTAATGTTAATAAAGAATTAATGAAGTTTCTTTCAAGGAGTAATAGTAAGGATCACTTTGAAACGTGTGAGTTATATGAGCTGAGTTATCTTCGTGGCACGCCGTCGGACACGTGTACTTCTGGCCGTGAGCAAGACTGGCTATATGACCCAGCTATCTACATCGACTGAATTTGAAATGGATCCCCAATAATCAAAATGAAGATATGGTCACGTATTGACATGATGACTAATACTAATACTTCTAATATCCTATACAACTGACATAAATGTGTCTGAATATTAAAGTTTACAATACTGGTCCTATTTTCAGTTGCCATTTACATACGAATTTCTAGTGTAGTTGGTATCACGTCTGCCTTACAATCGAAAGGTCCGGCGTTCAACCCCTACATGCCATTTTTTAAAATTAATTATTTTTAATTTAAGCTTTAAGCACTTTCGGCAACAGATCACCGAAGTAATAAGTAATTAAACATCCTGACACTTGCGTTCAGATGGACTTAGATGCGTTACACGTTATCTTGTTCCTTTGTCAACAAGAAAGTGTGTGGTATGCGCAAAAAGCAACAACAACAAAATGACGGGAAACCAGATAAATATGCTAGGACTGTGATTTGGCACCTTGTTTTGAAATATTTCACACAAAAAGTTATTTTTAATAATAGTAAAAACCACGTATTTACTTACTAAAGTGTTTTGTGTTTGCTTTGTAAGTTGGTAGTGTTATCTTTTTGTTAATGAGTTTTCATGGCGTAGCCATAGTGCATCTGACTTGTCAGCGCAAAGGTCAACCATATGCCTTCAAATATTTATTTATTTTAGGTGTACAATTTTTACCACGCTTTTGGAGGGAAAAAAGGTTTTCAGCACAGGAGGAAAGATTAGCACTCGCCTGGCACAGTGGTTACGTTGAATGGCAGAGGGTGCAGCAGCGAAAGGGTTAAAAGTCTATGGTTAAGCACAAGCAAAGAAGTACAGTCAAAATTCTGACCTTGCCACCCAGGCTGACCCAGCCTAAAATGGGTACAAAGTAAATTCTTCAGAAGTAAAAATGGCCAGCGCAATGTTGACTACATTATCCACTCAGTCTTGAATGTTCTAATATATATGCTCATGTGCCACTGACAAGAAGGGTCCTTTAATACAATCAATATTTATAAATGTCAAAAGTGCTCTATTTAACCAAACTGACACATCCTTGTTTGAAAAAAAAATATGACCACTCATTCCCAGCAAAGCAATTTACTGTCTTAGAAATCCTTAAATTTAATCAAACAATGGACTGATCGATGATCTAGAGTTTGATGAATTAGTTAATAATTTGGTTCTCTCAAAGCCATTTGTGAACTACCCAGTTCGATTTAGTTTTAGCTGAGTTAGCAGAATACTGCTTTACTTTAATTTTGACAATGGTATGGAGCTCTGACTGTTCAGAAAGCAATGGCAAACTATAGAGAGTACAATGTACTAGTAAAACCACAGCCAACAAATGTTGGGGTTGATCTGCAACATCCTATAATCGATACATAAAATTGTTGTTGCTGCTGCTGAATAGTCCAGTTTTGATAAGGAAGAGAACTATTTGTTTAACCTCCTGCAGTGTGTACAAAGATGATAGAATCAGCTAAAAGAAATATGAATTAAATTTAAGTTACTCCAATATCAGCTTTTGTGCTTTCCTCATTATTTAAGAACATATTTGATGACTTCCAAGAAATTGTAAAATCCTTTTAATCTCACAAATGAACATACTAAGTGACAGAAGCTGCAGAGTTAACACCATTTTCTATTCAAGAGTTCAAAAGACTAAGAAGTAACTGCCTGAGTGGTTACAGTGCTAGACTCTCAGGTGCGAGACACAGGTTTTTCTTCGGTCAAGAGATGGAGTTTTTTTCAGGCAAAAAAAATTAAAATCCTAACCAACACAGCTCATGGTGATTGCGGTTTCAGTTCCTCAAAACCATATTCAACCTGCTGCATAGTTTTAACTGTGAGCAGCATTTGGTTACATTTGTGGTCTAATTTATCTGTGCTAGCCATGCAGCCCTAAATCCTCAGGTTCACCACCTCTATCCTACACTGCCCTAAAAAGTGAAAAACTAACACACTAAAGACAGTTTAAAAGACCATGAAAACAAACACAATTTTTTAACCATTAGCATGAAAAACCATGGCTGTTCAGTGATCATATGTTTTTCAATAATTCATAAGTAAGCCAAATATAAAAATTACTTTTAAAATTTTTTTTACAAACCTCAAGACCTCTGTTGACAGCAGACTTGGCCATTCTCAAAGCAATAGGTCCCTTACAACAGACAAAATAATTTTAGCTGTTGAGATTTATAATATTCTACAGAACATCAGCTGAATCATCACAAACACAGTGCAGACAGCAATTTTTCTTGCTTGAATTCTTATTTGGATAAGAGGAATTTCTGATCAGAAGAACCATTTCTTAGGCTCTGATGAGTTCTCCTGATCAGGTTTGCACTGTACATCACTTGCAAAGGAAGCATAGTAGATGTTGACCAAATGAGAATGCGTCTAAAATTATCTCATCCAAAAACATGTTTAAGAAAATATTCATTCATTCACTGCTCTGCTGTGCCATTATATGTCACATAGGGCTCCCAGTCTATTCCTCCTTTCCATTCTATCCTGTGCATGGAATCCAGTCCAGTATCTGCAGCCTCTCTCATCAACATTCGTTAGTGCCTGTTCAGTAATTCTCTGCTCATTTCTTCTCTGGATAGGTTCAATTTTTTTTTAACAGCAATTACAAGTTTATTACAATCAAACCAGATGCAACATTACAAACATAGCATGTCATCGAATGGTTCCAGGGACAAGGCAGGTAAGAGATTACATCTTGAGCTTAGTACATCTCCAGTGACGCCTCCTAGCATTGTTTCTGATTATGTTTCCTGTCTTCATACAAACCCATCTGTTTTGTTTCATCTTGCGAGCAAGTTTGGTGTTTATTTTAAAGGTTTTGTAGACTCCCATTTTCACCTCCACTCTGAAAATGGGTTCAGTATCTTCTTTTTCATATAACTATTGTTAAAAGCGCTTGCTTAGACATTTCTCTTATTTCTTCACCTCTCTTGAATCCATCCCATTTTATATTCAACATTTTCCTCAGGTATTTGTTTTAAAATACATTTAACTTTTGTTCCACGTCTTTAGTGGTTCTCTTCACTAGCAAATGTCAAAACTGAAATAATATTAGAATTGAAAATACGGGACTTGAGTAGGTATGCAGACCACCAAATGTGGATATGAAGTTATAAGGGTATCTTTTTTTTTTCTCTCACATGTTTGCCCTTTAAAATGGTGGTTCACACACTGTGTTGTTTACAGGTAGGCAGCAAATCTACACTTTTGGCCCAGCATATCAGTAAACACTTTTTATTCACCACTTAAAACACTCTTGTAAAACACAGTGGGTCTATTCTTTACTATCGCAAAATGGAGCCCTAGATCCCAATAGGGAAAAAGCTTGACTGTCTGAAAAAGTATCAGCCTTAAATCTTGCTAATGAAAGTATTGTTAGGGTATTTTTCTGGAAAACGTAATATGCATCTTAATATTTTAAATTCGGTCAAAACAGACATTCTTCTATTTATTTTTTTTTTTTTGGTATGAAATAAGTTGTCTATATCAGCAATTTGTTCTGTTGCACACATTTCACAGTCATTATTAGTTTTTTTATTGGTTCATAGATTTTATTGCTGTTCCTTTTGGCAAAAAGGTTTCCTTCAATGTGTTATATTTGGTGCAGTCTAGAAGCATGTGTTTTGCTGTCTGGAACGACTTTTCCCATCTGCACATGGCTGATTCACCAATCTTAAAAGGTGTTTTTGATTGCATAATCAGTTGTTCTGAGGCATAGGACAATGACTTATTCTGATGAGTCCATAGTGAAGTTGACATCTTGTGCTGGATTCATTGTTTTCTGAATGATTTAATTATCTTTTCCTTCTGGTGGTATGTGACTGGTCTATCCGCCTACTGCTGTGTTGCCCCTTCCCCTGCCAACTGATCAGCTCCCTCATTTTTGGGCGCTTTATAATGGGACTCAGTATGAACACACATTATCTGTAACCAATAGTTGTCTACTTATGTTTCATGATCATTATACTAGAAAGGAAATGACATGCTTTGGTAAAGGGCTTATGCTTCACCAAGAAATAAATAGCAGTACCCTACCATTCATGTCATAGAAGGCAATTAAGGAGAGTTGGTGAGATTTACTACCTCAACCTGTAGAAAATTCAGCTACCATATCCACTGCATCATTGACGAGTCTATAAAGGGACTGGATTGACTTGGTAGAGGGACTATGTTCTACTGGGACATCATCATCAGCATCATCTTCTTCAGCATTCTGAGCTCCTGAGATTAACTGCTGCAGATATCACCCACCGACATAAATCTTTGCGACTGACCTTTTTTCCTTCAAGTTGGTGACTCCAAGTGTTTGTAGGTTTGCCTGTATATTATCTTTCCACTGTTTTCTTGGTCTGCCTCATTTTCTACTCCTATTCAAATTGTCTGCGTACCTTTCTGTCTTTGTGTTATCTGCTAATCTCTCTATATGCCCCAAACACGGGGACATGAAAGGCAGATTTAAAAAAGCTTCAAATATAAGAAAATACCTAAAAGACAAAGAGTCAATACTAACTTGTGGTAGAATCTCCTCTGCCAGTTCCAGAGCCCGATTGTATGCAGCATCTCCCTCATCGTTCTGCTCCACACAATGGTTGACAACACCAAGCTCTTTTGCCTGCCATCCATCCAAAACTCTACTGGTAAAAATCAACTCCTTGGCAATAGCAGGACCTACAACTCGAGGAAGGCGTTGCGTGCCTCCAGCCCCAGGAATGAGTCCACGACTTGTCTCTATCAAGCCTATTTTAGCATTAGAGGCTGAAACAAGGTAATACATAGTTAGTTAGTCAATAGATTATCCTCACTGCACAATGAACCATTTATTCTATTAGTGCATGGATCCCCTCCTTAGTAAATCCTGCAGCGTGTAGCGGCTCACACCAGTCCTGTGTTGATTTCTCAATCTTCTCTGACTTCCTGCATAGCACTCTTTTCTGGCCACACCCCTCTTAACATTTTGTTTTTGCAGTCTGGTCATGGTTGCAGATTCACAATCATCACTTGGTTCTTGCCAATGTCTTACTTCTCATAGAGCATTCAGATCAGCATGGTCCATTGCTCGTCTGCCCTCAACAGTAGCTTCACCTGCAAGTCGATCAGCTTGCTCATTTCCATGCACACATGTATGCCCTGGCACAACTGTGAAACTGATATGTGTCAAACTCAACTGCTCTATAGACTCCAACAACTGTCTTTGGAGCATACCCACTAAGTCACTGAGAAAGCATGCGCATGAAAGGTCTGTGTCTCCAACCATGTTATTGCTTTGGTGACTGCCATGTCCTCCATAGTCAGACTATTTGTGGTCTAGGCAACAGTACCAGAATCTTGCTTCACAATTCTAACACCAACTTGAGCCGTAAAAGCTCAAGCACTTCTCAGATGGTGAATTACAGACCCATCTGTGTATATGACAGCCTGCCTCTGTAGAGAATTCTCAAAAATCAACAGTGGCTGGACTTTCTTGTTTGCATTTTCTGTCTAGTCGGATGCAAACAGAAAAGGTTGTAAAAGCACTCCTTTGGTATTTGTACCCATTCCTCACCAGGTTCTATGTCCTGAAGTGAGCACACCTGCTGAATAATGTCATCGACATGACCCATCACCCTTTTTTTCACCATGCAGCGGGTATTGTGTGTCTGCATGGACTCTGAGGTAAGCACCTGCTCGGCGAATTTGAATTGTGTCCTCCATTGGTAGAAAATTGAGAAGGTAGCGCATCGCCCTACATGCTGTATCTCTTGTACATCCAAGTATAATGCGCATAGCCTCGTTCTGTATCCTTTACATCCTTTCCATCTGCTTATGGCTGAGAGTCAGGATTGCCATCACATACTCAAAGACAGAAAGGACCATCCTCTGATATAAATAATAATTACAAGATAATACATGATATATACTATATAAAATAAACTAAATGATATACATCTGCAAATAATAAACAAGCTAAAGGATTCTTAGTTTCTCAGAGATCTGGTTTTACAGAAGAGTGCTTAAAATTCCTAGGGGAGCCGAAATGGGCACATTAGACATTTTGAACGAGGCTGGAAAAAAAAAACTTGTTTCCCCCCCCCCCCCCAAAAAAGGGGGGCGTCTCATTTTTGTGGCCCCGTTATAATATAAGCAAAGGAAAACTGGAACACAAAACGGCTAGAAAATTGTACAGAAGGGGAAATAGAAAAAGACTTCCTATGTGGATTCTGGGTCTCAAAAATTTAGGGGGTGGTGGGAGGGGAGTGAGAACAGACCCACCGTCCCCTAACAAGCATGTCGTAAAAGTCAACTAATTTTAGGGGTGTTTTTTTCCAAGTCATTGTGCATCTGACTGCGAGACAAGGAACAAACAGTCCATATACAAATAAGCTAGATCTGAAAAACGGATGTGCACACAAAACTCCAGTTCTGGAACTGAAATCAAGATGTGGACAAGCAGCTGGAACATTCCTCCAGACAGAGTTGACAGCTGGTGAACGTAAGGAGGAGGGGAGAGAGGAAGACCCCATTTTTTTTAAAAACGGCAATCCATGCAGATCTTTGCAGAATCATGGTGTTTATGATAGTATGTAAAGCTCTTGGTAGGTAGCAAACCTTTCTGTGCACTGACACACCATATCAGTTAAACAGAACTCAGGGCAATGAAGTCACTCCTCTCATGTAAAAAAAGATTTGAGCCAATATGGTGTTAGGCTGGCTGGTCTTGAAGCCTTAGCAATTTGTGTGTGTGTGTGTGTGCTTGGAATAAGTGCTAACGAGGTTTTACTACATCTTCTTCAGCATTACGAGCTCTTGAGGTTCATTGCTGCAGACATCACCCGCCTCTGTCATCTCTAAGATTAGTCCTCTCCTTCCAGTTGATGACACAAAATGTTTGTAGGTGTGCCTACATATTATTTCTCTACGATTGTCTTGGTCTACCTCATGGTCAGTGGCCATTCAATCCTTTGTGTACAGTTTTTAGTTGTAATATATATATATATATATATATATATATATATATATATATATATATATATATATATATATAACACACACACACACACATATATATATATGTGTGTGTGTGTGTGTATCCCACTGAATCATGATTAGTATTTAAAAAACGTCTATTATATACGACTGTCAACTGTCACCACATTTTTAGGGCGGCATAGAAGGGAAGGTCATAAGCCTGAGGATTTATGGCCGCATGGCTGGTGCTGTCGATACGAACTGTGGAGGTTAGGATGTTTATTTTTGCCCCACACAGAAAAACTCCATCCCCTTACTGGAGGGTCGATGTACAACTAAATAATAATTAGTATTTCGTACATATGTGTGATATACCACTGAAAGATAAGTGTTTCTTAAAAAATCTATGACACACAGCTGAATGTTCCTTACCTGCCACTCTCATGTCACAAGCAAGGGCCATTTCCAGCCCACCCCCTAAAGCCGCTCCATCAAGTGCAGCTATTGTAGGCATCGGCAGGTTATAGAGTTCTGATAAAGAGAACCTCAGCTTTGCCACAAACCCAGCCACCTCATCATTTTTCATTTCTAGCCTTTCCTTCAAGTCAGCCCCTGGCAGAAACAGGATTTCAGATATACATTTAAAATACTCGGCAAATAAAGGTGATATGTTTAAGGAAGGTGAAAGGTGATAATAACGGACAGTAAATGTATTAAAGTCAAAAGTTAGAGTTTAGAGGATCGAAGCTGAGTGCATCCAATACAGTTTGGTCTCTCTATGCAGGATGGCTAGCAGCATGCCAAGAGCTTCCCACGAAGCACAAACTCTGGAGCTCCCTTAACAATTCTAGGGATCTCTGCAAAACTGCACTCATGAACCTAACGGCACACATTTAAGAAGATGAGGCAAAAAGCTTAACCACTTCACTCCAGACACCCTTGAAAGATATAATAAAGGGGTTAAATACGGAAAAGTTTTTTTTTAAGCAGCCCATCACTAGATGGAGAATATTCTATGCCATTCATGTCAAATGGAGGGTCCTCTGAGAGTCATATGAGTCCCATTTGTGTTGTCATGAGGGCCACACAGGACAAACAAAGTGAAGTCACTTATTAAAAATGTTGCAGAATATTTTTATTACGTGCCGCAGGTGTGCGTGCAATGGGCTGCATGTGGCCCGTGAGCTACAGTTTGACATGCCTGTTCTAAGCAATCTGTCTTTGGAAACAGTTATTCAAGGCATTGCAAACTCAACCCTGATGTGCAGCAGAAGTGAATTACTGAGATTCAGGCAATGAGTGAAAACTTATGTTAAAAGATGTGTGCAAATGGAACATGGATGATACAGATACTGAGGTAGCTTCATGGGGAAATAATGCCAAGGGCCGTGTTGAGTGCAAGAGAGGAAAGGCTGAAAGAAGTACATTAAATACATGTGCTGGCAACACTGGTCCTGAAACTGTGGAAGACTTTTTATTGCAGGCGGGTCTTGCTAGTAGCCTTTACTATCACCATGGGTTGTGGTTCCCATGGTTCCCTCTATAGCCCAATATCAATACCATCTGGACAGATGCCCCAAACAAATATGTGGCAGCTGAGAGTTGTGCTTCCATACAATGATGAGAAAATCTGCTTAATGTAGACGCTTTCAAAGAAATTAGCTGAACTTACCTGCATCAGAAAAGGTAACTTAATCTGGGGTATTTCATAGGGAGAAAACTGAAGTATTTTGTGACAAAGGAAAAGATTAAGGAAAAGAGAGGAAGTGGGACACCAAATCAGAAGAAGTGACAGTACGTAAGGCAGAAGGGTGTGGACAGACATGATTACCAATGTCAAGGGGCAAGGACTATTAAAAGAAAAAGAATCGGAGACGACCAGAATTACCAAATATTTTTTTGTATAAAAATAGTCATTTTAATAAGACCTTAAGAACAACATTATTTTTTTTTAAAAAGATTCCCTCCTAAATATGCATTCAGTAGCATTAACATGTCAAGAATGAGAATCAGACAACTATGAATCTTGGAAATCCCATTTAATTGTACAGCATTTATCACGGTTATATGAGGCACCACAAAACGGTTACTTGGTAACCTGTAGTTCAGTATGGGTGGATTGCTAATACAGACAAAAGTATTAAAACACCACATCACTTAATGAAGTGAAGTTAGTGAAAAGATTAAATTTAAAAAAAATATCAATACTTGCCACAAAATTTACAAATTACATTTCAATTAATAAACCCAATTATACATATAACATTCATTTGTAGGTTCCGGGCCCTATTCAATATCAAAGCACTCAGGATACTCCCATAAGCACTCAGTCCCCATCTTCAGCAGCAAGTGAAGAGTTCCAATTCCGATGGCACCAGTAACTGTCTGACTATATCGTCCGTTGCCTGTCCCTTGGGTGGTGAGCATCAACCAGATCCCCTGCTTACTCCTCGCAGTGCAGTTCTCCTCAGAGAGTAATAACCTGTTGTGTGCCTCCACACTGTTCACTCACTCCTAAAGTGCCCCGACAACAGCTAGCTTGTCAAAATCAATTCACCACCAAGTGGTGCAGAACTGGCCAGTCTATCTGCCTGCTCATTTCCCAACACATTGGCATTCCTGAACCGCTGTGGGTGTCGAATATAGCTCCTGGCTGCCTCGACCATAGCACATGTGCTGTTGTAGAGTACTGATTTTATCCTTCCATCTTGTTCTTGGTCTATCGTGCTCTACGTCCTTCTTCTCTTTCCATGTATGGTATGGTATGCTTAATGGGCAAACCATTTCACTTGCTGTCTTTGTATGTAATCCAGAATTGGTTCCCAAATTCCTGATCTTATCTCCTATGGTCACTCCTACAGCCCTCTCAGACATCTCATTTCCGTGGTTACTAAGCGACATTATGTCTGGCATGGTAGCACAGATTTGATAAATTATGCTTTGAATAAGATTCTCTTTGTGCTGTTATTGTCTTACTGTAGAAAGCTGTCCCAGACTTGGTTTGCTTTACTGCATCTAGTGTCAATGTAAATGTAGTTCCAGATTTTTTAAACTCAGATGCCTGTTTTAATGCCTTTGTATTTCTATTGCTATGTTTAGATCTGTCTTCTTTTTTCCTATTAACATTACTTCTGTCTTTTCAGTGTGATTCTCATATTATTTTTTTTACATTCTTCATTCATGGATGTTAGATGTTTGTTGCAATTTCATGGCTGTATCTGCTATCAGGGCCTGGTCATCTGCAAAGAGTAATTCGTTGAATCTTACTAAGATCTTCATTCATGGGCTTGGCATTTTCCATATACTGTCGATGTAGGTGATAAACAGCAGTGGCGATAAGACACACCCCTGTCTTACTCCAGATGTCACTGTGAAAGGATGAGATGTTCCCTGATTTATTCTAACTACACTTCTACATCCCTGTATAAAACTTTTGCACACTTCGATGAGGTATCGCTTACTCATATCTTGCCATTATTTTTCCATAATAATTGTCTGTCGACTCTGTCAAATGCCTTCTCCTGGTCTACGAATACCACAAATCTTATTGTATTCAATGTTCTTTTCTATTAACTGGTGTGAAGATTGCATCTGTGCAGCTTCTTTCTCCTAAATCCATCTGTTCTGCCAGCTGTGGTTCTATCACTGTCTCAGTCTTGTTTCTATTATCGGCATACATTTTGCCAACATGTTAAAAGAGGTGCCTCGATATTGACCGCATTCTTGTTTGCTTCCTTTGTTCTTCCACAATAGATAACTATTGCATGTTGCCAATCAATAGGGCCGTTTGTTGTACCCCATGTTGCATTGAATATTCTGTGAAGCCATCTGATGCTGCTTTCACCTGCTGCTTGAATTATTTCTGTTGGTAATCTATCAGCTCCTGGTGCTTTATATTTGGGAGACTGTTTAATGACTTTTTCTATTTCATCCATTAGTATGTGTGGTTCTAACACTGTTGCTCTGTGCTCTTCAGTTGTTCTTTCCTGATGATCTCCTAGAGGATTAAAGAGCTAATTGAAGTATTCCCTCCATCTTTCTGCTATCTCGGGTGGATCTATCAATGGCCTTCCTGTCTTATAATTAAAAGCACATCATTAAAAGCGACTAATTGCAAATATGCTGAAATTGGATGTGTTACACAGAAAGGTGCAGATAACGCAGCCTAGCTGTAAACCACAACACTATGTCCCAACATCACTTTTAAGGGTGAATTTAGAAGAAGAAGACACATTAAAAACTGTACAAGCAAGGTTACAAACATTACATTTTAAATATTTCATCTCATATACAAAGACGATGGTACATTATCAGCTATGGTGTCACCCTCTGTCTGGCTGGCCGGTAGACGACTTTGCAGTATTTGGGTCTGTCTCTCTTGATCGCATCAACGCTGCAAAAGTTTTTTTTCGGGGTCACTCAGTGGCTAGCAAAGCTAAGCAATTTTTATATGATGCACATAAACCTAGTCGCAATTATAATCAAAAGCCCCACCCCCTTTTCCCCCACCATAAAACAGGCACTGAAATGGAAAAATGTGGGACTGAGGACATGAGGATGCCCAACTGAAATGATAAGGTAAACACTGACGTGACAAGCCAAAAGCGTTGGACTGGATTGCATCCAAAATATCCAAGTGATTGCACAGGTTACAACGGAATGCAGAAACAGACTGTGAGCCCTACATGACACATAATGGTGTAACAGGACAATGAATGAATGAATAAAGGAATTTACACGGCTATCTTCTGTGAATTAGTTTAAGAGCTGAGTTGAGTTACGAATTGATATCACAGAAAGCGCAGAGTTCCAATACTGATGGTACCAGTCCCAATCTGGTTATATGCCCGTTTTGCCTTTCCTCTGAGTGTGGTGAGCCGGCCAGACCCTCTGGTTACACCCAGGTGCCCCATTCTTCCCATGCCATAATAATCATGTTTCTCTACTGATTCTGTTGCTTGTTCCCAAAGGGCCTTGACCACATCTACCTTGTAATTGAAGAGTACTGGTGTATAATGAACACGTTTACCCTGAATTGTTTCAACAAAATTGTTTCCAAGCATGAAAAGGTAAGTTTGTAAAAATGCTAACAAATTACACATTACTGATCATACCTGCACAGAAGACTCCTGGGACTTCACTTCGAAGTACAACCACTCGAATGCTATTATTAAATTTAACCTCTTGCATAGAATCAAGAAACTGAAATAAATATAAAGAAAACATTCAACCACTAAAGCAATATTCTAGACAGGACACAGTAAACTTACTTACTTCATCGCTCCCTTTCTACCTTGGGGTGTAGATGTTTGCCAGAGAGATCGCAAGACGCCTCCAGCAGCAGTTTTCTTTTTGTTTGTTCCATTCCAGTCGTTTGTCAGTCGGGGACTGTCACATGTTGTCTTCCCAGCGGACCCTGGGTTATGCTGGAGGTATGGTTCCCTGGCTCTTAGCCTCCCATGCCTGTCAAGGTGAACGATTTTCTCTCATTCTGTACACATGTCCAAACGTAACTGTGACTGATCCACTCAATTTGTAAGGCCTGAGTTTCTATCTATTACTGTAGTGTCCATACTTTCAACATATCCTGTAACAAAACTGCATACTTTTCTTCATTTTTAACTTTTGAATGGAATGACCATCTCTTAACAACCAAGACTCCATATATTTTTGTAGTATCAGCTCAGAACATGTGCTCATAAGTCTTAAAGGAAAAAAAAGTTGACCAATAAGTGGTCAGTACTTTGTCTTTTGTATGCCGTCAGTAACAAAAACTCCGATCATGGCACAAACTTATCAAACAAAAACATAATCATGATATTTAACAATCATTTGATATTTCATCATTTATAGGCCAAACATAATGTTCTAGCGCCTTTTCACCTTTCCAGCTGACAGTGTTATATTGGGCTGTAGGTAGGCGTGGGAATTACTGCCGATAACAATGACGAGTGTGACTTGTAAGAACTGCTCGCATAAAGAAGTCTTCCACAATCAGAGCACAGGATTTCAGGACCAACGTTGCCATTTTGAGTATTTAAAATAAATTCTCAGACCATGGAGAAAATGATTGTGATATCTGACCAAATAAGCCATACAAAAATTACTGACTTAAAAATGGACCTACTTTTTTGGTCAAACATTTAATTGTGGTTAAACTGATAGAAGAATACTAAATGCTTCAGCGGGCCTTATACGGTGCAAGACCAGACGTTTCCCACCCCGTTTCTAATTTTACCTAGGGGAAAAAACTTTGTTGAATTAGAACAGAATTCAATGTAGTTACTTCATCAACAAATTAATAGGAGATTAACACAAACCTTTTGAATAATGTTTCGTCCCATGGCATTTTTGTAACGAAATCTTCTCATTGACATAACTGCAATTCCTGATAATATAAAATGTATAATAAGAAATTAAACTTGCAGCTCGAGTGTAGCGTTAAAATGATGCATTAAAATATAATCATCAGAGGACATTAAAGTTCTTCTAGCTAAATGCCAGATATTACTACATCATTAAAACCATCAAAACTGATCAACAGCAACATGAATCTCTGTTTTAAATGCTCCCTGAAACTAACATGTGGCTCTGGGGCTTATAGATCAGTGAATACTTTCACACTTTTCAATGTACTAGAGTTCAATCTGCAAAGCTGGCAGTTTAGAAGTTTAGACAAGGACCATTCTCGTGGCTTTCTGACAACAGTCAGAGTTAACACAGTGGCAGAGACGGACTTCACAAGATAATATTTCCCAAAACAGCTGTTGGTGCACATTTCCACAGCAGCCCACTTCTATTAAAGAGATAACCAATTTTTTTTTCTCACCACTCTGCAGACAAAGACCCAGATATGTGGGACAATCCAGTGTACTGAAGTTGGTCATTTTGACTAAAAATTTACCAATAAAGTGATGGTGGCACTTTGTGTCATCGGGTGTTTAACGCTCTGAGTGATGTCCTGGTGGGCTTAAATCTACTTACTACGTTTAGAGCTACTGAGTGTACTCTTTGTGGTGAGTACCTGCACCTTTTTTAGACACTTGGTAACTACTCAAAACTTTTTTTTTGTTAATAGAAAAACAAAACGTTCTGACAAATACTATTATCATGGCTGTCATTCTGGCCTCTTTATTATGATTATGAGAAGAAAATAACGCGTACAAACAATACAATACATGCGTGATTGTCTTGTCACACGAACTCATAGTATTAGTAATGCTGCTGCAAGATGTGATGAAGCATTGACTGCCAGCCCATTCCAAGTGACAGTCGGCAAGTTTCATTAAATTTCAATTGAATTAGTAAATCTTTTGGAGAAGCAAGACAGACTACGAAATCATGAAATCAGACGAATGCTAGGCTAGGAATAAAGCCAGTCTTACAGGTCATCAAAGAACAACAAATGAAGTGGTTTGGACACCTAGGTAGAAGTAGAAGGCAGAAGAGAAGATAGATATACTGACGACTCAGCTAAATTGCTTCCTTGTACATAACATAAAAATATGATACCTGCTTGCTCTCCATCTAAGTAAGTAAGTGTAAATTCGTCCTCTGGTGCCTGTTCACTAAACTGGCGAAAGAATAAAGAAATAAAGCTTGCACGACTTCTAAAGCAACGTGGAACAATCCTAGCCGACGAAGTGGATACAATCGCCATCTTGACATCTGAACTTTGACCCACCGAGGGTGCACTTTTTAAAACTTCTTACTAAATGTAACTTGTTGCTAAATGTAGCTAACTGACTGCCAGTGGAAATCTACACCGTTTAGACCAGCCATGGGAGACACTGGAAGAGAGGTTTATAGACATATGGCTGGCCCTGATCCTAATGACAGCATTAACCATCTAACAAGAAGGGACCAGGCCACCATCTTCAGACTTAGAACACAACACACTCCACTCAGTGGACATCTAAACAGAATACAGCCACAACACTCCCCAGGGTACCAGCTATGTAACTACCCCTACGAAACTATTGAACACCATCTCTTTGAGTGCCCAAAACACAACGAGACTAGAAGAATGCTACTCCCTTCGAGACCAGACAAACACCTTGTACTGGAGGAAAAAAACAGCTTATGAAAACATGCAAATTCCACTACATGGCATTGGGCCAAAGGGCGAATTCTCATGCGCCGCTGGATCGATAACAACAACAACAAGACCAGCGGTTCACAAACTGTAGGTCGCGACCTATTTGTGTGTCAAACGACCCTTTCACAGGGGTCGCCAAAGACTATCAGGAAAACACATATTCACGAAAGTTGTGAAGTAGTATTGAAAACAATTGTATGGGTGGTGGTCGCTACAACATGAGGAACTGTATTTAATGGTCGCGGCATTAGGAAGATTGAGAGCCACGGGTTTAGACATTAATGAACACGTTTGCAATTATTTATTTTTCAATACATAATGCAAAAATTGTGCTATTCTTTAGTCAGTTATTGCTCAGGACTTTGCTTATCAGCCATTTCTTTTTGATCTTTTCGAACCTTTGTAAAAAAGCAAAATGAAATTTTAGATTTTACACGGTATTGAAATTTCAAGTTCAGTTTTTGTCAGAGCCCATGAAATAGCCACACACACACAAAAGATATCTCTTTCAGATCATTAGGTGTCATCAACATAACGCAGGTTGTTTGTATTACGACCACCATCAGTTAAGCTTGGAATTTTAGTTTTTCAGATCAGAACCTGAAAACTAACTTAGTGACGTGTAGTTGGTACACATACAAGCTAAACTGCCCTCTTAAATAAGCCGAATTTGAAACTAACAATTTTCTAATTGAGGGGATAGCGCGAACGCAGTCCCCCTTACGAAAAAATTACGCACTCGAGTCATCCACATTTGGGGTGATCGCAGGCGTCAACCCAACCGAAGTGCAATGGAAGGGCCTCATCCTGGGAGCACGACCTTGATGATCATCGTAGCTCCCGTACCAGGTAAGTATAACTTACTGTTGTGAAAATTTTGCCCAGGGCGACAATTATTGCAAGATTTTTAAAGTGTTGATGTATCGACTGCACACAGTTAGTTATTGTTTCTGCCTAAGTCCTTGCATATGTCATATAACTTTTATAAGTAACAATTATATAAATCGGAATTTTTATTGTTTTGATTTAAATCTTGTGTTTGAGATGTCAGAACACAGAAGAAATTGTTTCTGGTATTCTGCTAGGAGTCATTTCCCTTTGCTAAATAATATTGAATTGCTTCCCTTTAATGCTTTGAATTTTTGCACTCCAAAGAAATTATATGTGCATTAGCCAAAACAAAAGCACTATTTCAAATGATGAACGCCTTTTATTCAAAATATCTTTGCTATTTAGTCAGATCTTCCTCGGAGACAAGTTAGGTGAGAAGCAGAGATCCTGGTGTATGAAAGTCAACCGTGCACAGTCAGCGGATTAGTGATCAATTATGTGGAAGCTATTAATGAGTGATATTAAAGAACACGAGAGTTAGAAAAAGAATTCTTGCTTGCTACATACATCCAGTTTTAACATATGGATGTGAATCCTGGACAATCGGTAGGCAGGCCAAACAATTTTTAGAGGCCTCAGAGATGTGGTTTTACAGAAGAATGCTTAGAATACCTTGGACAACCAAAAAGAGCAACCAAGAAGTTCTGAAAGAGGCGGCAGCCCGAAGACAACTTATCACAGACATCAGAAGGAGACAGTCATCATTTTTCGGCCATGTTATGAGAAGAGGGAAAATAGAACATGTTGTGACCACTGGAAAGATTTGTGGAAAAGGGATAGAAGAAGACAACGAGAGAAGATGCTTGACAGTCTTGTTGCATGGCATGGAGGTGTGTCGGCACACGAACTGATACATGCTGCAGGAGATCGCAGATTATGGAGAGACATGATCGCCCACGCCAGTCGGCAAGGCACCTGATGATGATGATGATTAAATAACAATCGTACGTTATGTTATGTTATCACAATCAACGTCTTTGCACACTAGGCATTCCCAGGCAAGCTCAGGTATCGGATGCAGCAGCCACTCTAAGGCCCCTCTATTGACTGCTCCCATGAGGAGCTGCAAAAGTCACAGAAAGGATACAAGAAGATCGTTGTTTTACTGTCAGGAAGATGGTAGATGAATCTGGTGTTAATAGAGAGACCCTTCGTAAAATTTTAGTGCAAGATTTTGGCAAGAAAAAAAAATTGGCTCGCAGGTTTGTACCGCATTCGTTGTCTGACGACTAAAAACATCAGCGGGTTGAGTACCCACGAGACATCATCAAAACAGGAATTTTTGGCCCTAAAACAAGTGTGTGTTCTCAACCATACAGCCTTTCCCCTTGTGTCTCTGTAATCATTTTCTATTCCTAAAATTAACCATTGAAAGGACGCTTCTTTGACGATACTGATGACATCCAAAGTGTGGTAACATCGACTAAAAGGACCATAGCAACAGAAGAACTACAGAGGTCGTTCCAGTGTTTGTTCGATCGTGCTACTAACTGTATGCACAATGCAAAAGGGGCTTATTTCAAATAAAATACAGGTTATATCTTCAACTGTTGAAAATTTAAATTTGTGTATGGAAAAAGTCTCATTAATTGATTATCAGACCGTGTAGTATCTCCTGTCTTTACACGAAAGACGACATAGACGTGCTTCACCAAGCTTAACTTCTCAGTTATGCTGTCGTGTTTTCGTCAGATATTCGCCATTATTAACAAACCTAATCCGTACAGCGTTGATGGTTTCAGTTCTGCCTGTGCTTTCTTCCCGTTTACATTGGTGTGTTACTTGCCAGCGCCACAGCTCTTTCATTACTATTTACTCCAGGTGTGTAGATCCAGGTGATGGAGGTTAACTGCGACTTCCGAACGGGTCTACCCATTCAGAGCGTAGACTACCTGTCAAGAATCTTCTCACGCTTTCTTCTTCTGTCTCAATCACACAGACCTTTCCAGTTGTCACAACATGATCCAATTTCCCTCTTCTCATAACATGAGAAATAAAATGATGACTGTCTCTTTCTGATGTCTGTGATAGGCCTAAGTTATCTTCGAGCGCACGATTCTTTCGAAACATCTGGTTTGCTCTTTTTAGCTTTCAAAGGAATTCTAAGGATTCTTTTGTCAAACCACATCTTGGAGACCTCAAGATATTGTTTGGTGTGTTTATTAACTGTCCAGGATTCACAGCCGTATATTAAAAGGGGCCCTGTGTGACATGCATGTTTTCCCCCCTTACCACTAATAACAGTGATGTATGGCACAAAATGTTCTCCAATTTATAAATGAAACCTCTACAATCTCTCCTTTTTTGTTCTTTACCTGTGTGATACATCTTCCATCGTATGTTATCATGTGCCTAGATATTAACATTTCTGTACGTGTCTAAAAACAACGTCTTTGACTTTTAAATTACATGTAAGCAAAGAATTTTCTTGGAAATCACCATTACTTTTGTCTTCCCATTATTCAAACTGAGGGCCATTTTACCACTTTCTACCACCATCGCATCTATCAATTCTTATAGTTCTTCCTGACTTGTCGCTATCAAGACGGTATCATCAGCACAACGCAGGCTGTTTGTATTATGACCGTAATATAAGCTTCAGTTAAGGTCCAATTAAGCTTTAATTTTTGTTTTTAAAAAACAAACCATGTGATGGTACATATCCATGCCGCACTTCCCTTTTAATATTCTAAAATAATTATGAAAGTGATATTTTTTTTAAAAGGAATGAAAAAGCGCGAACGCAGTCACTATTAAAAAAACAATTACGCTCTCGAGTCACCCACATTTGGGGCGATCGCAGGCGTCAACCCAACCGAACTGCAATGGAAGGGCCTTATCCTAGGAGCATGACCTTATTGATCATTGTAGCTCCAGTGGGAGGTAAGTATGATTTTATGTTGTAAAAATTTCCAATTCCAATTGTTCAACAAAAATTCCAAACTTGATCCTTTTCTAGCAGCCCGGAGGCCTGCTAAATGAAGGAAGGTTCCTCAGCTATCCTATTTGGTTTCCTATTCTTTGTGGTGTGTAGTCACACCTGATATTCTTGTTCTTCTTCTTTGTAAGTCCGGTGTGGTACTTGGGGTTCTGGGTCTGGTCTGGTCCAGCTCTCTTAGCGTCAACTTCTGTGGGTTTTAGCTGGTGCTTGATTTAACTCGTGCTGGTCGCTGCGCTTGTGCCCTATTGCCTGCTGGGTTACCGCTCTGTGAAGCTACGGAAAAAAGCCAAACAAGCACCACGTTGCGCCGTCTCCAACAATGCTCCTCTTCAGGACAACCAGGGCCGACACAATCTGCAGCCCGTTTTTTCACCCACAGAGTGTGGAGAAGTAGTGAAGATAGACTGCAAATGAGAAAACTTAACTGCTGGAATGAGCAAGGAGATTTAATAGTGAGGTCGGAAGATTGAGAGCGATAGATAGCTTGAGATAGATGGATTCCCAATGCTAGTACTTCTGGTGGGTTGAGGCCCCCTGGTCTGAAATAAGACTGAAAGGCATTGTTAAAATACATGTGGTGTGGGGGAAAAGGGGGGGGGGGGTAGGGTGGCGTAAGATAGACTGGAATCCCCGAGTGTTGGTCCCCTTTGGTGCAATGTCTTCAGCAATCTGCTTCAGAGCGTCGGGTGGCCTTTGGTGGTTTCCGTTGTTTTCTTCTTCCTGAAAATAT